ACTCAAAGGACTTTGTGACTATCAGCAACATTAGTATAGCCTAGTGCGTGGTTATCACCTTATATACAAGGAAAAGTGACGGGTTAATTTTAAAAACCAGGGTTTGCTCCATTACGATTTTTTGTCGTAGAATTAAGCAATCTACCCAACGATATTTAAGGAACACCAGTCTTCATGATTTGACGATGGTTGCACTGAACACAACTTATCAGAAGGAAGGAGGTTGCCATAAAGGGACAAGACTAGTAGTTTAAAACCTCGCTAGGCATCTATTGGTCGGAAAGTTTCGTGTTCATCTTTACTACTTACGTGGAGCAACTGATTCTCCCTTATTGAGTGGGCGACGGCAAAGGTGGGTAAGATAGGAGGTCCAAATTATCGAGTCCCTTGGCCCGATTTCACCGCCTGCTTAGTATTCTAACCTTTAAAATATCTTCTTTGTTATTGACTGTTTTATTTTTCGTTTCCCGCAGTTTGAAGGCTGTTCCAAGCGGTACTCCCGGTTGGAGAACCTGAAGACCCATCTTCGTTCACACACTGGAGAAAAACCCTATCAATGCGAGGTGCCGGGGTGTAATAAGGCCTTTAGCAATGCCTCGGACAGAGCAAAACATCAAAATCGAACACATAGTAATGAGAAACCCTACATATGTAAGGTCGCTGGCTGTTCAAAACGGTACACTGACCCGAGCTCCTTGCGCAAACACGTGAAGACCGTTCACGGAGCAGAGGCAAGTGGCATTTTAATGCATTTATTTAAACTACTGTAATATGTTTAGTAGGTGACTTTTTATTAACAAACAATTTTACTGTTTCAGGTGTACGCCAACAAAAAACACAAGGGTGAGAGCTGGAGTAATCGCCCCTGCGGAGGCAATGCTGGTACGGGCCTCAACAATGTTTTCCGCGATCCAACTGGCGGTGGTGGCGTATGCAGAGGCGGGAAAGATGACGGAAAAGGTGACTTCCCTATGGGTGGCTCCCCCGGTTTCTTTGATCGTCGTGGTGGCCGCGTTCGTGGCAGTCGAGGTGGCAGCCTAGGCAGCAAGAGTCGCGGTATCTCACACGACGGCGCCTTCGTGGACAACGTGCTCTCACACGGTTCCTCCATGCCACCCAACAATCGGTTCGGGGTTCGAAACCACCTTTATCCCACAGATTTACCTTCGCGAGGCGCTTCCCTAGAAACCGCACATTTGTACTCCCAATACCACAACTATCCTGCATTTGGTTCGCCGTTGATAAAAAGGGAAGGGTACATCGGTTTCGGTTGGGATGCCATAGATCCTAGCTATCTTCCCAGCG